TTTTTTTTGTTTTTTTAATTCTGATTGGTACCATTGGTGTGTTGACCTAATTGGGACCACAACACATTATCTTTAGTCTTTACTGTTAAATGAAATTATGAAACAACCGTTTGTAAGTCAAGGTTGGGATCGTTAACGCTCGAACTTGTCTAGTTAACGAGCAACAACGAACTCATTTATGTTCGAAAATATGAAAAATTTTCTATATATTTTTTTTTTTTTTTATATCTCAAATCGTTAGTGTTAGAAAACGAATCAAGTTTAAGATAAAGTATTCAAGATTTCTTTTCAATTAAACAATACTTTTTTTATCACACCAAAATATTGCGAGAAAAGTCCAGTTATTATTATATAACGTTGAGCGGTAGCAAATATATATAGCAAAGATTTCAAAGCAATAACAAATTAAATTTATTATGACTTCTCATTTGTGCAAAAAGTGTATTCATTACTACTTATTTTCTTACCGCAAAATTTTGGTTAAAAGAGTTGTGACCATATATTTATGACTAAAATTTGGTTTATATGATGGCCTAAGTGAAAATAACAAATATGTTTTTAATTTTGTATTTTTTTTTTTTCTATAAAATTCAACCTTTTCAACTAGATTTTGTCTCTTTTCTTGCCAATTGGATCATCGAAAATGGGTTGCAATTAGAACTGCAAACGAGCCGAGTCGAGTCGAGCATTGACATTATTGTGCATGATTGAGCTCGATTTTTTAGGCTCGAGCTCGACTCGAGTTCGACTCAAAAACTTTTAAGGGGGAAAGGTAAATTTACCATTAAGGACCCATGCTAATATATATATAAAGGGTATTTTAGTAATTTAACATGTATATTGAGTCGTTCGACGAGCCGCTCGACGAAGCAAAATATGGGCTCGAGCTCGACTCGAGTTCGTGCTCGAACCGCTCGAGCTCAACTCGAGTTCAGTCAAACTCGAGCTCGAGTCGAGCTTTAACTTGAGCCCTCGCGAGCCGTTCGGTTTGTTTGCAACTCTAGTTGCAATATCGATTGATTTGGCATCACACGTAAACCAAAAAAAAAAAAAAA